AACCCCATATCGTCGTGGCCCGGACTGCATTCATTTTCCCTGATCGGCGGAATTCCAACTTAATGATTTGGCTTCGCGCTTATTTCTTACATCCGCGGCAGGTCTTCGACCGCCCCCGCGAGGCGCCTGTCTATGAGGAGAGAGAGAGAGATACATATATATATATATATATATGAGACAGAGAGAGAGAGAGACAGAGACAGAGACAGAGACACATATATATATATATATATAGAGAGAGAGATAGAAAAAGAGAGAAATATAGATATATAACTATATATGAATAGAGAAAGAGAAAGAGAGAGAGAGAGAGAGAGAGAGAGAGAGAGAGAGAGAGACAGAGAGAGAGATGAATAGAGAAAGAGAGAGAAACAACAACAACAAAACAAAAAAAAACGCGCGCGTGCTCGCGTCGGGGCCGAGGTCGGGCGAGGGGGGCGCGGCGGCAGACGGCGGGGAGCCTTTGACACCTGGGACCCCGCGCTCTGCGACCAGTCGAACCTCGCCGGCCCCCGCAGAGAGTTCCGCGCCGCCTCGGCCGTCGGCTGATTTGCCGAGCCGCGCGCCCGCGACTCACTCCGACCAGGGCCGCGGCAACGCGCGCGTCGCTGGTCATCTTCGAGAGGGCGCGGCGCGGCGGCCGAGGGGGGGCCGCCCCCGCCATGTAGGCCCCGCTGATTTCCTTCATCGCGCCGCTGAGGAGCAGCGACACCTTCTGCGTGCGCGCCTGGGGGAGCTCGACTGGGGTCGTGATCCGACGCGCGCCCGAGTCCGTCGCCTTCCCGCCGCCCTTGTCCTTGCCCTTCCCCCTGTCGCCATTGCCCATGTTCGGCATCCAGGGGGCCCGCAGCGCGAGAGCCGTCGGCTGGCTCGGAGTGCTCATCGCGATCGCGCCCCTCCACGAGTCCGCGAAACCCGCGGTGACCGCTGCGCTGCTCAAACTGCCCTCCGTGCCCCGCCGCTTCGCCGGCGCCGCGAACGCCGCCGCCCGGTGGGGCCCGCGGGCCGCGCGGTCCACCTGCTCGCCCGCCTGGGCCCTTTCGCGCTGCACCTTGGACTGAACGTTGCGCGCCGCGCCCGCGGCCCACCGCGCCCCGGCCAGCCCGCCCTCGATGACTTCGAACCGCTTGAACACCACGGCGGCCGCGTTCTGAAGCTCGCGGAATCCGCCGGCGCGAGACGCCCCATCGCCTTCGCCGTCTCGCGCTGGCCCTTGGTGCTTCCGCCTCCCACTTCCTTCTTGCAACGCTTCCGCGCGAGGGGCTCGACGTCCGTGTCCGCCGCCGCTGCCGCCGCCATCCGCGAGGGCATCCCTCCGCGGCCATGACGCCGTTGCCGTCTGCGCATGGTCGGGGGGCGCGGGCGTCGAAGTGGCGCGTCTCGCGGCTGGCGCCGTGCCCAACTGCCACCGAGGTGATCTTGGCCAGCGCGTTCCACCCCGCAGTCGGCAACGCGCGCTCTCGGGAGGAGTCGACCCGCGAAGCTTTCGAGCCCCCTCTGGAATGCAATACCCCCGAATAAGGGACCGAGCAAGATGGCAGCCGACAGCCGCCCGGGAGCTCGACGCCGCGTGGCCAGCAGCGCACCTGTTCGTAGGCGTGCCAGTCTTTCGAGGGCGATGTTTAGTGCGAGGATGATTCAGCAGGTTCTGTTCAGTGCGGAATGCTGCATTGCGCGCGCCGCCATCCCCCACCGCCCTTTCGCGCCCCCATTCGCGCGGGGCCTCTGGAACCGGGGGTCCGGGGCCGCAGATGGAGGCTGGCACTCTGGAGGAGGCGGTGCAACTCGAGCCTGGAAAGGACCTAATCACAAAGGAATCGAGCTAGGCGGAGTCAAGGGCCAGCTAGGGATCCACTAACCTGGCGGTGTAGTCCGAGACCTCCCTTGATCGGGGCCCCCTTCTCTACATGGCCTCTGGACTTCCCGAGCGCCCCCCCCGATGCGGAGAGCCCGCGGGGGAGCGCGCTTTGTCTGGCGATCCTGGGCGACGCGGCGGTGGCGATCATATTCCCGCGCGGGCAAACGGCCGAGCAAAAGACGCACGCGCTGCTTGTTGCTCTGGGGGGGCGGGGGGGGGGGGGGGGGGGGGCAATCTGCCGGCGCCTACTCAAAAGTATAACGAGAGGCTCCTTCCAGCTAGGGGCCACTCTCCTGCGCTGTATAGCTTGAGCATTGGCCGGGTAGTCGCGCGATCTCCTCGCGCGATGTGCCTCGACCATCCAGCGGAGCATGGCGCGGCCGATCAACGTGGGCGCCCAGATCCCTGCGCTGCTGAGCTGTCGCCAACATCGCCTCCAGTCCACTTGGCAGAGCGTTCTGAACGGGCCTGATCAGGGAGGCCCTAATCCGCCTCCAGGGGCACTTGAAGGGCTAGAACCCGCCCGCTCAGTAGAAGCCCGCCGATGCCGCCCCCCCCCGGCGAAATGCCCCGGGCCCCACGACGCCCGTCAGAAAATTATGAGGCCCCAAATGCCGAGTGCACTCCTGAACTTCACCCCCGAGAGTGGGCGCGGCATTTCGGAGAGGCCGTCGTTTTGCATCGGGCCCCCCCTGACCCAAGACGCGATAGAGAGCTGCCTGCTTGCACTTGTTGGCCCGAACCCAACTTCCCCGATCTCTTCCTTAGCGGCCTCGTCGGAGGCCACCGTCCAGTTCGGAAGCTCCAGGGTCCTCTGAAAAAGGAAAAGAGTTCGTGGCATTTCAGACGTCATCCGCGTGCTCGAAGAGGCGCGGGCGCGCCCGCCCACCTTTCCACTCTGCTGTCGAATAATGGGCGGGCCGGTGAGACTCGCGATCTCTTCAGGAGAAGATTGGCCTGGCCGGCGCCGCAGTCGAGCCCCCTTCCGATGTGGGGAGAAAAGGCTGCTGATGATGCGCCCTGTGTCTCTCGGGTCTGCTGCGCAGCGCGAGTTCCTCGGCGCGCGCGACCGAGCCAATGCCCAGCCCTCAAAACTTCGGGACAATGCCTCGAATCAGCGCCGAAGCACCAAGGCCGAGCAGATGCCCAGTCCGGAAACTTGGAGTCGCTCGACGGCGACTGAAAATTGGGGGGCCGCTAGCCGCGGCGAGAGGGCGAACTGGGGCGAAGCGGGAAGTGGAGCGAGCCCCCGCGCAACCCGCCGGGCACTGTGAGTTTCTGGAAAAAAATCGGGCCTCGCCGCCTCCACCGACGGCCCAGCGTCGACCCCCCCCGTCGCGGGCAGCCGCCGCGCGCCGGAGGCGCTCCGACCCCCGTCGCGGCGCGACGACGAGGCGTTGCTGACCCCCGTCGGGGGGGCGCCCCCTGCGCTTATTAGGGAACCCAACATTGGGGGGGCGCGGGCCCCCCTGCCTTCGCCGCTCCGCTGCTCCCGCGAATCGGCGCTTCTCAGGCCCCCGTCGCCTTCTGCCGGGCCTCCTCGCCTGCGTAATCCTTGAGCTTCGGGCCCCAGCGCTTCCTGGCCAACGCCGCGCGCCTCGCCGCGTCGATGCTCTCGGCCAGGGCCTCGAGGTCTCGAGCCCCGCACTCGGCGTGGCACGTGCCCTTGGCCTTGTCATTGCCCATGGCCGCGCGGTTGCTGTCGCGCCGCTTCGACTAAAGGCCGGCGCCCGCGAGCCATCCAGCATCCGCGGGCGCGCCTGCTCGTTCCTCGCTGCCGTTGCGCGCCGCCTCCGTCTTCTGCTTGCCGGGGCCCGCGAAACGCGCATCGAGCTCCAATGTGTCGCGCTCGGCGAGGTGGCACCTGCATTTGCTGAGGCTGAGCTCGCGCCCTCCAGCGCCCTCGCAAATGTGCTCGAACGGCTTGTCAGAGACCACCTGCTTGCGCCGAGCCGCGAAAGCGAAACCGAGCAAGTCCTGAAGCGGCCGCTCGCAGAAACATCAAAGTCGTTCACGCCCTCTTGGCCCAACGACTCCTGCGTTCCACTGTTGGCCGTCCCCTCCGAGTGCGACTCCTTCTGCTCCTTGTGTTGATAATGATCCAGCTCGTTCTCCTCCTCATTGTTCTCCTTCAGCTGCATCTGCTCCTTTTCCACGCCCGTCGAGAAGATGATGCCCCCGCTGGTCCGTCGCGCACTTGGCAGACGCCATCTCCTTCCACTCCCCTCGCGGAGAGCGCCACCTGCAGCGCGTCCAAGCCCATGAACGACGTGTTGCTGATGACCTTCTCCTTGCCCTGCTCATGCGGGTCCTGCGTGTTCTAGCCCAGGTCCTGCAAATTGAGGACCGCCAAAGGCGCGATCGCCGAGCCCCGCTGACACTCCGCAGTGAAGCCGAAGCTCGCGTGGCGGCAGCTCGGCCTCAGGCGCTGCCGATGTGAAACTTTCCCCCACCTTACACGGCGGTGGAGTCATGATCTGGTTCTGCGAATCCTCCTTGTGGCCCTTGTCCGTGATCCAGACCCCCTCCGAGAACCGACGCCTGCGCGGAGGTGTAGATGGAGCCTGTGATGTCCCGGAAGCTCGAACAGGTTCCCGATGGCACCTCCCAGAAAGCTTGCCTCTCGCAATCCCTGAGAACCTCGTGGATATACTCGCCGGTCGCGCCGTTCTGGTCGATTGGAATGTCCTTGATGCCATGCCCAGCCAAGGCCCAGTACTCGTCATTGCACACGCCGACGCTGACGGCCTCCTCCTCGCAGCCGCTCGCAGTCTCTCTCCGAACTGCTCTGGCAAGAAGGCTGACAAGAAGGACAGGAGGAGGAGGAAAAGGAGGAGGAGGAGGAAGGAGGAGGAAGAGGAGGAGGAGGAGGAGGAGGAGGAGGAGGGGGAGGGGGGGGGGAGGGAGGAGGAGGAGGAGGAGGGAGGAGGAGGAGGAGGAGGAGGAGGAGGAGGAGGAGGAGGAGGAGGAGGAAGAGGAGGAGGAGGAGGAGGAGGAGGAGGAGGAAAGATCAGGAGGAGGGGAGAGGGGGAAAGAGGATCAGGACGGATGGGGGAGGAAGATCAGCAGGCGGAGGGGAGGAGCGAGGGCGGGCAGGAACGGAGGACTGCAGGAGGAGGAAGTGGAGGCGGTGCAGCCGGGCCTCGGGGGGCTCCTCCACGGCGGGCCAGATCACGTGCCAC